TGCTCTCGTATAGAATTCTTAGTGCGTCATTTTGAAAATGGCTGTTGCCTTTTGCACATTAACTTATGAAAAAAATTTGTCACCAACACGTTTTTAATTTTGGGCTGTGGGTGTGCAGATAATCAGAAAGTATCCCCAAATCTATCATTTTGTTAAATTTGTCGTATTAACACTAACACAGCAATAGTTAATGCTTTATGATAAATATGATTAAGTTCTATGATGGTTAGTGATGGAGTAAATTTTAGCGTTTTTAATCACTTTTAATTATCAAAATTTGGTGCTTTAACAACAATTAATCACCAACTTAAAAACTTCAATTTTAGATAGCAATTTCGCTTTAATTTCTTTTTTTCTTGATGATTAATACAATTTTTCAGATTTTTTTCACAGCACAGATGAGTGGTTGATAATTAAGTAAATCCAATCTTAAAACCTTTAGCATTCTAAAGATTTACAGATTGATGTGAGCTGAAACAAGTAACTGAATTTCTCGTAAACAAACTATGCAGACATTCATTTATGTTTAATTTTGTTTTATTTTTTTGGTTTTATAGATTATTTAAAACTAAAGCAAATTATGCGGTTGATATAATTTCCATAGCATGCACACTAGCTTCATTCTTCCTTGCTCTGTATATTTCTATCCATCAAAGCAGTAATTACTGGAGCCATCTCCTTATATAAGTATCATTAAGCTCATGCTCATAGACAAAACAAGAAAATCTCCTCCCTCCTCAAAAATTGCAATGTATGGTCAGCTAGTATTTTTCATAGTGGTATGCCATTTTAGCTGACTATTTTTCCAAACAATTTAAAATACTAAAATGAGAAGCAATAATTAAGTTTTTATAATATGTTTTCAGAGTTTATATACATTTTTACTCAAAACCATATAACTTTTTTCGGTAAAAGTTTACAATTGGGTGCCCCTTGTTTTTGGCGATTCTTTTTTGACGCCAAGATCAGCACCAGGAAGGCACAATTTTAAAATGGCCGCTACACAAAACCAAAATAAGAAGTCAAGAAATTGCAGAAATTCTGTGCCCATGTACACATCAATCGGTTTTCACTTAAAAAAACATCCCAGAATTGCACAAACTAGGCATTGCGCACTGTCTTAAATTTGTCCATGTACACATCAATCTATTTTCATTTAAAAAAAAACTAGGAAGCTAAAACAGAGTTAAAACTATTATGGTAACCAGAAATGAGGTTTTATCGCCAAAAATTTTTTTTAAATTTGTCGCTTATCGAAGGGGCACCCAATTCTACACTAGAGCCCTTTTTTCTTCTTATTATTATTGGTTGATCATTACATTATGGTAACTTGGCGTTTTTTTGGCGAAAATTTGGCGACCAACTCTCCTACAGCAACCCTCTATTTTTTTTTCCTGCCGCCATTTTGTCTTCACGAAGTAAAGACATGTTTCTTTTCTTTTTATCTACTGAACACTTCTTCCAACAATCTACTAGCCGAATTACACTTATGCTAGAAATTTTATCTAACAAACTGCTTAATCATGACAATATTCACTGCAAAATTGGGAAAAAGTGCACAATACCATACTCCTTACGCGTTTTTCAAATAACACATACACATAACCATGTACACGCCGACTTATTTTTACTTAAAAAACATTCCAGAATTGCACAAAAAATAGCATTGCGCACACTCTTCACTATATCCATGTACACTGCTTTTTTCTCATAAATTAGAAAAATTTCACGAAAATACATGACAATTTTCTCAATCTTTAAACCCGGTAAAAAGAACATATATGAAATTACCTGATCGCGAAAAAGTAATGAACATTTCCACATATAAAATAAATAAAATATCCAAAAACTTTTACCTCTAAATCATCTATTACGTTATACACGTCACCAACGAATTCATACCGTAACCATTACAAATACTTAGTGTCAAATATTTAAATTATTTCCATGCACGTTTACTTCAACTAAAACGTATACCAAATTCCTACAAACATAAAATTCACAAAATAACTATCATTTAATTAAATATAATTAAATTCAAAAACACTACTTAAAATATAAATGAGCACATACATTAAATTAATACATACATAAATACCCATTTCGAATTCACTTTAGTTACGGCCATGGGATCCAAAAATTCACGAACACTGTTTCACACAACACAGAATAAAGCCAAATACAAAATTTCCAGATTTTTTCCTGATTTCCCCCCTTTTCCGATTAAAGAACCGTAATTCGTCCATTAATATCACATGACATATCCCATGATCTCTCATTTCCCTCACACAAAATAATGCGTAATCGGAACTGAGTACTGCTCACATTATTAAGTTTTTTTTTTTTTTTTTTTTTTTTTTTTTTTTTTTTTTTTTTTTTTTTTTTTTACCAAAGTCCCAGGTAGTAACCTTTATCGCCTCCAAAATGTCGCCAAACTACCAGTTACCATATTGTAAAGATCAACCTTATTATTTTGTACAGAAACATATTTATCCTGCATCATTTTATGCAATATAAAAACTGAACTGTAGGAAAGTTATTTATTTCTAGCACTCGAATTACAATATTAAAGCTAGACTGCATAGCTAGAAAATAAAATATATGCATTACAAAAGACAATCTATGTTGACTTTGTGATACCACGCTATATTTTTTTAAATTGAAGATTAATTTTTCTTTTACTAATTATTCATAAATTTGAGTGAAAATTTAGGATCAAAATGAAAACAGAAAAATCAACTGACATTAATGAAAATCTCACATTTACTTTCATAAAATCAGTTTAGTTTAAAAAGGGGTCAATGGAGTGGGGATAAAAAATAAAAGCTTACAAAAGGCTGGAAAAAGCTGATTAAATTATTAAGCAGAATTCACACGACAACAAATAATACATTAAGTTAAATACAGTAAAAAAGTTTTTTCTACGAACAATTTGTCAGAAATTTCAAAAAAAAAAAAAAAAAAACTTAAGATCTCTCAAATATAACATCTTTTTTAATAATGTTGCATAATGAATGTTTATCCTAAAAATATTACGCACCTCACATTCACAAAAAATTATTTTCAGCTTAATTTTTCACATTTGCCATATATTTTACAAACATTTTAATGAAGAACTTTTATCTGTTATTCTTGCGCCAATTTTTAAAATGAGGTGCACTTATTTGCAGGAATAGTACAGCTAAATAAATACAACATCTACAGGTAAATGTATAAATATAAGAATGAACAGTTGAATCTGTGAAATCTCTTGAAGTGTATATTATGTGAAATAGTTTAATTTATGATGCTACTCAATATCGTGAACAAAATAAAAACTTTCAATATTAACAGCACTACAGGCATTAAAATATATTCAGTTTTTGTCCATACTTTGTCAAGAAGTTAGTGTAAAATGGTCAAGACTAACAAATCTTTCACAGTGGATCTCATTTTAAGACAGCTTTAGAGGAAGAAGCCTTCTGAGATAAGAACAAGGCTTCTTGTAGAATAGGTCTAAATCTGCCAATTCATCGATCTGGGTAACTAAGATTCAACTTATCTCACATGTAATAGATAAAACAAGGTGATGCTCCATCTTACTGAAAGATCTGAAACTACAGCTTACATTTCCATTTGCTTAATTTGAAGAAATAAGAGCTGTAGCATACTATATCTTCAACAATATAATATCTTCAACAAACAAACAAAGAAAAAATCCAGACATCTTGTAACTCATCAGGTAGTATCAATCTTAAACCTTTACAGAAATGTTCATGTAGATTTTCAGAACCTCAAATTTGATAAGGCTGGCAATTTATGACTGGGATTGGCATTATTTAAATTATGGCAAAACATTTTGAGGGCTATCTGGCTAAGAAAAAAGATGCAGTCATGGAGGACCTTTTTAAAGAAAACTGGCTTGTATTTATATTACCTATGAGAAAAACCTATGAAAAGTCCTGTGTAGACACCCCATTCACTTGAATTTGAATCTTCATTAAACTATTAGTATTCAGTGATTTTACCACTTGGCCACTGGTAAGATTGTTGAAGGAATTTGCACAACTGTTTACATGGAATATGACCTCATTTATGAAGATAGTTTAAAGAAATTCTGGTACATTGTCAAATCTCTGTAGCACGCTAACAAAGTAACTCTATTTTTATAGTCTCATCGTTTAACTGAAGTGTTGAATTCAGCAGGATCCTAGCACAGCTCCACACCCTTGGTGCGCTCACTTATATGGCATGTATTGATGTGTACATGGACAGAGTCAAGGGAGTGTGCAATGGCAAGTTTGTGCAATTCTGGGATGTTTTTTTAAGTGAAAATAGGTCGATGTGTAAATGGATACCGAGTTTGTGCAATTTTTTTACTTGTTATTTTCAAGTTGGCAATTTTGAGAAACGTGCGAAGCAGTTGGCGATTCTGCACTTTCCCAGTTTGTTGCCAAGAGTGTGGGCTCTCCTAGAATTTTACCGTTAAATTCTACAGGAATATAACGTCAATTTTATGTCGGACATTGCACATAGTTGATTTAGGAAGGCCTAACTATTGCCTTGACCATGAAATGGACTTCTGAGGACTACAAATATAAAATTGACAATTAGTTTTTAACACTGTCTTCTGATGTTCTCCTATGCAAAATGAAGTAAAAGAAAAAAAAATCAGGTAATCTGTTTCTATAAATGAATTAAATAAAAATTATTTTCCAAAGATTAGCCAAAAGCACTTTCAGTTTATTTCATTTAATATCTACTTCAATCAAATTTCATGAAGTAGCCCCTTCTGTAAACGGAAATCCTATACTTATTAGTGACCAAAATCGGAAAAAATAAATTTCTATAAAATTCAGAAACTGTTCATATCATCGATTGCACTTTGATATCATTAGGAATAATCAGGAACTGGTTGTACATCGGAGAACAATATACGTTTATAACTGAAAAAAAAAAATACTCATAAAAAAAGATGTATTTGATACAATTCCTCATGATAAATTTGTGAATTGAACTACCTTTTCTATGACAGATTCGATGGTGCCGGTTTGAAAGTTAGTAATCATTAATTCTTCTCTCTCTTCTAACTCTTTCACACTAGGAATACCAATGGGATTATTTTTTCGAATTTTTGATTTTTTTTCTTTTGACTTTCCCATGTTATTCACAATGAAAGTCTATAAAATGAAAAGTTATCAAAACATCAAAACACACACACAAACCTCGTTTGTCTAACCACGTAGTAAACACATGCTACTACAAGCAACAAAATCGTTTCCACACATATGTAACTAAATTTTGAGCGAAATCTATAATTTATTGTTGTATACGAAAATATATAAAAGTTTTGGAATTAAGCTGAGATAAGAGTTTTGGAAATTTTCTTACAATAATAAATAAACAAATCATCACACAATTTAGTCGTCTTTGATTCAAACATCCGATGTGTAATATTTAACAATTTGTAAATGGCAACATTTAACATTTAGTAATTTTTAATTGGCAACACTTTGGATTTTGCTGGAGTTCTCGTGTAACATAATAGTACATTCTATGATTATAAATAAATAGTTTCTAAAAACTAAACGTGCACCCTCATTATTTTATATGGTGTCAGGAGTGTTTTCCTTTCAAAGTGGAAAGTTTAAAACCACCAGAGCCGATGAAATTTTATGGAAATCTTGCTTCAAATTAGCAAACATGGCTGCAATCTTTCGATATATACGAAGTAGCTAGTGCATTATATAATAAAGAAGAGAAGGTAAGAGTAAAAAAACTTTTCTTCATGAAACAGGAATTCGCGGTCCTGAAATATATAATACATTTTCCGCTAATATCACATAAGCGGTGTAAATTGGCGCCAAACTATTTTGGCCTCCAAAATTTGGCAAATTTTTTTGGCGGCAATGAAAGCACCAAGGTGTGATTTTTAAACGTAAACAGAATACTAACTTTTATGTTTTGCAGTAGTGAAACGCCGTTATTTTATGTAAACAGAACAGTAAAATGAGATGATAAAATACTGGATGAGTAAAACAAAGTCCAACAGCTTTGCAAGTAAAAACATAGTCATATCTATGTAATTCATCAAAAAATAGTAGAATGAACAATTCTTCTAAATAAATATATACACTTATCAGAGAAGAGCACTGCGAAGTGAGTTTTAAACGCAAACAGAATAGCAAATTTTTGTGTCATCATGATATTTCACTTAGATGTTCTTTGAACATTTTACTCTAAAAAGAAAATATGTTTTTATACTTTAAAGTGAAATTAAATTTTTGCCAGAAAATTTCCCCATAGCCTCAAATTTTTCGATGAAAATCATATGCTGCACTAAATTCTATAAAACTAAAAATAAGAATGCATCTATTTTGAATTAACTATATTATCTATGTTAGTTAATACACTCGTGTGCAAAAATTAAGGACGAAGTCGAAAAATTAGCATATCAGCTGAACGAAGGTAGGCGTAATGGGGGACGTAATGGGGGAGTGTCTGAGTAGTATAAAACATGTTGTCGGTGTAAGATCAGTATTTCTGGCAAAGAGATTGTATAGCACGATTGTACTCCGTATAGCAGTTAAAATCACACCGAGTTGCTGCCTCAGCGAGAAATGACGAATAATCAATCTGTTACACGACATCTGGATGCTTTTACCCGAGGTCGAATCATTGGGATGTTGGAGGAAGACCGCAGTGTGACAAGTGTGGCTGCAGAGTTCGGAATTGCTCACAGCATCGTTTCACGACTTTGGAGACAATTTCAAACTACAGGAACAGCTATCCGGGCGTTTAGTAGTGGTCGTCCACGAGGAACCACACCTGAAGATGACCGGTATATTGCCTTACAGGCCAGAAGAAACAGGCGGCAGACAGAGGGAGAAATCGCTAGACACACGACACAGGCGACTGGACGACCGATATCGCGTTTTACCGTGGCCAGAAGACTGCACGGTGGTGGTCTGTTTGCACGACGCTCTGTACGGTGTGTACCTTTAAAGCCTGCCCATTGGAGAAAGGCGTTCTCTGTGGTGCCGGGAACACCGGAATTGGAGAGACAATGAATGGGGACGAGTACTCTTTACAGATGAGAGCAGATTCAGTCTGAGTAGCGATTCTCATCGCATACTCATCTGGAGAGAGCGGGGAAGCCGCAATCATCCCTCGAACATCACTGAAAGGGACAGGTATGGAGGTGGCGGTGTTCTCGTTTGGGGAGGCATCATGCTTGGTAGTCGTACAGACCTTCACATCTTCGACTCAGGTTCAGTCAACGGGACCCGTTATTGTAATGAGATTCTTCTTCCATATGTGCGTCTTTTTAGAGGCGCTATGGGTCCGCAGTTCCTTTTCATGGACGACAATGCACCATGTCATCGCACAGTAGCTGCCGAACAGCTCTTAGAGAGTGAGGATATTGAACGTATGGATTGGCCGGCACGATCTCCGGATCTCAATCCCATCGAGCATGTATGAGGTTTTCTAGGCAGACGCTTGGCAGCTCGTACCTTACCACCAGTAACGATTCCGGAGCTTCGATTGGCGCTGCAAGACGAATGGGCAGCAATGCCTCAACAACTCAGTGACACCCTCATTCTCAGCATGGACAGACGCTGTGAAACCTGCCTAGCAGTCAAGGGAGATCATATCCCCCATTAAAGACCGGATGTTTCTTGCTGGACACCCATCACAGGGATGTTTCGGCCTTCAGTAGCATTACGCTCCATGCTACTTTTTCAATAAAGCTTCTTTTTATCCCTCTGATTTCTTTTAGTAAGTGTTGCTACATTACATGTCCTTACGTATGGGGTCTTACGGTATTAAGTGTGATTTGGAAAGCTTTCGTACAAAGTTATATTCAAAGCAAATTTTAACCGCAGAAAATTGTATGTAGCACAATACAGAAAAATTTTGACAGTACCTAAAATATCAGTATCTCACTGATTTTCTGATAGTAAACAATTTAGTTTTCGTCTTCTTTAGCATATTCATTGCATAACTTTTGCGTGCATTCCAAACAAACAGGGTCTTGGCAAGATAAACATAAATATGCTGTCTTTCTTTTCTTGCTTGGGGGGCGCAGACGACATGTTTTCCTTGATTTTAATTTTGCTTCTTTTGTGCACTGCTCCACATCCTTAGACTCAGCTTCTTTTCCTAAAATCCGCTTTATCGTCAGGCGCAATTCTCGATTTATTCTTGGATTTTTCCCTCTCGTGTGTAGTAGTGGTTGGACTAATTCTCTCGCTAATTCTTTCGAAAAACACCATTCTGGTCATAACAGGGTTTTGGTTATAACCTTGGTGCAAAATGTATGCGTTTACTGTACTCATATCTACTAACCGGTAGAAAAGAGCCATAGGCCAACGCGTTGTTCTCCTACTACAGGAATGGACAGAACATTTTTCATCTAAAGCATCAACACCACCTTTGGTTCTGTTATAAAAACCAATTATTTCAGGTTTCTGTGTTTCCGAGTCTGTTTCTATCGAATGATGCAATGATGACATCAAAACCACTGCTCGCCTTTTTTTTTCGCAGAAATTTTCTTCACAGTCATCTTCTTCACTAAAATCACTTCCAACTTCGTCTAGAATTTTTTTCAGTTCTTCTGCATAACGTGGATCAGAAGGATAAATGAATCTCCGCGGACCTAACTTCAGAGCCATGTGTTCACTACTGCCGAAAATTGTAACACTGAGAGGGAGGTGAGGTCTCACAGACCGCTCTAGAAGAATTTCAACAGATACACTTGCCAAAGCATTCCGATAAGAAGGGGTCAGAAAGAAGGTCACGAAACGTGAAGCTAGGGGAAAAGAATCCATTCACTTGGACAAAGCATGCAATAGGGGTGATGGGAGGAACATGTGGCGCGGTCCGTCAGACCGCACGTCCCTGTCACGGGTAATATTCCAATCTTTGATGCCACGCAAGAACAGACTAAAAAAAAATAATAAATTAATGAAAACATCATAACTTCACGCATGAAGTTCAACATTCTCCCACACACAGCTTAACCCTCTGCAAATTTATATAAATATAGTATAAACATATAAATTTAACAAATTAAAATTTAATTTTTAACAAACACGTATAAAAGTAAAAAAAGCAAATTTAAATCCTAAAAAAACTAAATAATTTTTTAAAAAATTTTAAAAAAATGTGCAAACATATAAAAGATTTAATTCTTGAACTAATCTACAATATCATTTAAATTCAGAAGCATAAGCAAATCAAGTGCAAAATCAATCCATGAAAATAAATTCACTAATTTAGCAAATTAAAATTAAGCTAAATAATTTTTTTTTAAAATGCATAAGTGAATGACCGTTGAGTAGGCAGGAGACAGACTTATCAAGGGGAAGTTGCCTCTAAACCTAACTCTCCAATCATTCAATTCGTGTTTCGTCATTCATGCAGGCAAGGGTAAAAGTCAAAACCAAATGTAATACCAATAAAGTGGTACCCTTAGAAATTAACATTTAAGAATTAACATTTAGGAATTAAATTTAAGAATAAAGTTTTAAAAGGAAAATACTAATGAAGTCTTTTGAGAAACAAGCAAGTAAAGTCAAGAATTAAATGAAACTTTTTTTAAAAAAATTAATTCCCTATAAAAAAATCTAGAAACCAATGTATTTTAGAAACCCTTGTCTACAGAAACCTCCCCGACACGAATATGCATATCAATAAAAAGAAACTAAAAAAGAACTAGACATAATCCATATAAACCAATAAGAAACAAAAAGAACTAATTCACAATTTTTAAAAAACATACATTTAAAAATATAAATTTCATATTTAGAAAATACTTAAATACTACATAAAAAATTTTAATAAATACTTAAAGCAAGTAAATAGTAAGTTTTAATTCTAACTTACCTACTATATGATTGTTGGGGTCTGTAAAAGAGAAGTAAGTGTGTTCTTCAAATTATATAGATGGCGCTTATGTAGGTAAAGTTGAGTGTCAAGCTGCTATCTTTGTTATAGTAAAAAAATTTTTGTAAACATTAATATTAAAAATTAAATTAAAAATTAAAAATCCTAAAGGTAGTAATTAAGTAACTGAGCCAATCAAGAGATGTAAGTTTGCTTGAAGGAAAATAAAGTGGTGTTGTGAATAAAAAATGTGAACTGTTTGTAATGTGAAATGTGTGTTCTGTTGAAAAATTGTGTAAAAATTGTAAAAAAAAAAATTGTAAAAAACGTAAGTGATTTTTTTGTGTGTGTGAAAATTGCAAATTGAAGTA